ATTGACTTGAGAGAGAGAAAAGGAGAGGGTGAGAGAGAGCTCGGTTGCCTCCTGTATACACCCCAACCGGGAATCAAACCCACAACCTGGTATGTGCCTTGACCAGGAATCGAACGGGCAACCTTTTGGTTTGATACATGGGACAACGCCCAATCAACTAAGCCACACTGGCTGGGTGGTGTTTGGTTTTATTTTTATACTAGAGGCCTGGTCCCTTGGCCTGGCCTGCGGATATCCCCCGAGGGGTCCTGGATTGTGAAAGGGTGCAGGCCAGGCCAACCGACCCCACTGGTGTGGCCCAGAAGGGACACAGGAGGTTGGCCAGCTGGATGACCACAGGAGGGCTCCAGGGCATGTCCACCCATCTTGCCTAGTCCCCATCTCAGGACCCCAGCAGCAAGCTAACCTACCGGTTGGAGTGTCTGCCCCCTTGTGGTCACTGCATGTCATAGCTACCAGTGGAACAGTGGAACAATAGCTTAGGCTTTTATATATATAGATTTAGATTCTTCCCAGGCTCTGGCCCTGGCTCTGGTTCTAGCCTGCTGGGCTGCTTTCTTGCAGTTTCACTTCCTGGGAGTAGTTGCACATGTACTAGTGTGAGATAACAATGCCCATGGATTTATGTCAAGGGGTCTTTTTACCTTGTAGGGAGTGCAGGGCAAGAAGTAGGGGTGGCTGAAGAGGTGGTGCAGACAAGTGCAGGGTAGGAGTTGTGGGGTAGAGGATGAAGTGATAGTAAAGAGGAAGAGTTGGAACCGGGCCATCTGATTTGGACTTAGAAGTGGTCCTTTCTTCCTGCTCTCAGACCTTTTGCCCCATGTCTCCTTATTGCCTCATGGTCCTTCTCTCAAGTATCCTAGTTGTTTCTCTGCTTTTCTTTGCCCTTCCCTCTCCCCAGTTCTGCCCTCCCCCAAGACAAAAATCCCCCAAGATAAACTGAACTTTGATAGGTCAGCAAAGCCCAGACCCTCAACTAGTGGTGGCCTTGGACATACTCACACAACATCACATCTGCCATCTCCTAGGCCCCAATATATGACATTACTAGGGGCGTGGGAGACTCAAGAAGTTTAAATGCTCAGATTACAAAAGGAGGGTCTTATAATAGCCCCTGACATGCCTCCCATAGGGCTTTGCCATCCACCCCCTCTCTCCATAGTGGACTGCACTAGTGCGTGTGGCGGAGAGAGGGTTTCATTCCCCAGACCACTCCCATGTCATTGTTCATTCTAGTAAAGCTCTCCAAGGAAATACAGCCTTATTTTTAAGTCTCAGTGGAGATATGAACCACTTCCTGCTACCAAGAAACTTTCACATCCCACCTACTCTCAGTAGGAAGTGGGTTGAGGGGAGAGGATGGGCAGGGCAAAGGGATCGGGGGTGAGGGTGGGGCACCCGGAGTCCCCCAACCTCACCCCAAGTGCTGGCCCATTTCTCACCTCAGCAACTTTCACATCCCAGATCTCAGTTCTGCTCTAGTCTGAAATTATTGCCTTCAGAATATTAAGACTTCTGTTAATAAACTTGTAGTCACCTCAATACATGCAGTAGCCAGACTTGGATTTTCCTGGCAGACAGGGCAGAGGGGCAGGCATTTGTCTTTGGGCATCGTGCCGGGTGTCTTCAAAGCCCAGAGGGAGAGTTGGCATAATCAGGAGTGGGCCTTACAACAAAAGTTCTTCCCAATCGTAGCCTCACTAAACACTTTCCTCATTTATTTTACTGTTGGGGCTGTTAACAGGTTATGTCCTTTCCCAGGCATTCCGAGTAGGGCGACGGGAGGGACCTGATGGGGACCATTTTTACACACCATTTGGCGAGCTTCTGGGATTCTTAGAGATGCTATGTGATCAAGTCCAGCCCATTGGGGCCTATCAGGTAGAGCATCTCTCATTAGAATTCTGATCTAGGAGCAAAGGGATGGGAGGTTAGCCTCTGGGAGTTTAGGAGAAAGCCTAAAGGGTGCCAAGGCTAAGGAAGCCCAACGCTCTCACCCAGCAGCCTGCAGGCTCTGCTCAGGGCTCCAAGCAGGAAGTTTAGCTACAAGCTGGTGTAGGTGCTCCTAGAAAGAGGAAAGTGAAGACTGACAACCAGGAAATTACAGCCTTGTTCCCAGAACTCTGGTGAAGGGGTTTCAGTTCTCACCAGCTGAACTGCAGTCTGGGGAGGCCAAGATTCACCAGGCCCTGGGAGGTGCAAGCAAGGAAAGATGGTCATTTTGGGAACCACCTGAATACGGTCTGCTCGATGGACTGAGTGAACCAGGAGGGGAACGCAACAAGAACAGAATTAGGAGGAAGAACTTAGACTGTTGGTGGCTCACAAATTCTGTATTAAAAGCCTGATGCTGAAAGATGGCAGAAGATAGGCTGGATCCCTTTTTGGCTGAAATGTAAAACTTTCTAGGTACAGAGGAAGGAAGCTGAAAGAATGAAGCGAGGAAAAGGGAAGACCAAGGAAGGAAAGAAAAAGGAGTCACGAATATACAATGAGAGCCAGAAAGGAAGGAAATGGGTATAGTTAGATGAAAAGTGGAAGAAATGACAGTAAATGGAGAGAACTGGAATGAGAGAATAGAGACGAGAGGGAAAGAATAAACACAGGAAGTGGAGCAGAATGAGAGGAAAGCTTAGGGAATTCCAGGTGGAGTCCTCGCTCGCCAGTATGTAGCAGAAGAAAAGGTAGAGGGCGTAGTAGGCCTGACTTAGGGGACTGGTGTTTTGTCAAGACCCCGTTCTTGCCCGCCTGGCTTCTTCCTCTTTCATCTCTTCCTGTGAATGCCGAGGTGCCGCAGTTCAAAGGCCTGGCACAGGGGGTGAAATGACTGTGAGGAGAAACACTGAATTGGGGAAGGGGTTGGGGGGCTAAGGGGAAAGAGAGGCACTCCCTTTACTAGAGGAACTCCATCTTTGAGCTCTCCTCACCCATCCAACCACAAAAAGCCAGGTTTTACTGACACCAAATCAGGTTTCTCTTTATCTTCGTCTTCACGGGAGGTTGAGGCTTAAGGAGTGGGCCAGGAACTTGGATTCTAAGTGCCCGTGAACATGTCCCTGCCTGAGTTCCAATGTTTTTTTTCCTTCCCTGGATATTTATTCTGGAAATACCTTTACTTCTTCTGCAACACACCCAAGGCCAGGTGGCCAGGTGCGTGGATCTCTGCCACAGCCTGGGTGATAACTGATTGACACCTGTAATGTTACCAACAGGGACCAGGTCCGGAGCAGGTCTGCCTCGAGCCGGCCGGTGGTATGTGGGTTCTTGACTTTGTGCAGGAAAGATTTCACAGCATGAGCCCAGGTGATTTGGAGAGTACATTTATTAAATGTACTGCGGACAGTGAAACAAAGGAGGCAGTTAGGGTGGGAGCAGCAGCAGGAGAGAGCGTAGGCGGTGCTCTGCTCTGACTCCCTAGAAATGCTCTAGGAAAGCAGTGAGCCTGGGCAGGGCGGCTGTTGGCTCCCTGGGAAGGGAAGGTCACAGTGACAGAGTGAGCCTGGGTGGGGCTGCTTTAGCTCACTGGGACGTCAGAGAAAAAGAGGACCTTGGAGACAGGATCAGGGGTGAGCCTGGGATGACCTGCCGCTGCCCTTTGCTCCCCTGGTTGCAAGTCCCTTGGGGACCCTAGAGTTTAGGAGAAAGGAAGTAAAAAGTTCATGCCTGAGGCGGGCATGGGCGTGCTCCCGAGAGCCCATGATGGCATGCTTTGTCTTGAGGGTTTTCTCTCTTAGGTGGAGGGTCCCCAGCAAACGCTCACCAGCTTCTCAAGTGCATTTTTAATTCTGCTGCTGCGGCATCAGAATGAGTATATAGGGGAGTTTGGGATTTCTTTGGTTGGGTTTACGGTTTTACTTTTATCATGGGTCTGTCTGGCTCTTACCGGGTTTTTGTTATTTGTTCCCCTGACTTCATCCGTCCTTGGGTTTGGCCGGCACAAATGGCATTATCTGGGTCTCTCCTCTATCTCCCTTACCAGGGATTTAAGCTATTTATTCTCTGAGCAGGAAGGAGAGGTATTAACCATTTGTTCTCAAGTATCCTTGCTTAGGGAAGATAAGGTCTTATGATTCACTGGCTGGCTGTAAATCGGGCAAATTGTTAGGCCTTGTTTAATTATCTGTCTCAGTTTCCCCATCCTACTTGCCCAGGAATTTTCCTAGCTTCTTACTATCTTGCCTCAGTCAGTCCACGATAGTCCACAAGCAGGTTTCCCTATGTACACCTGTGCCCAGGGACACCTGGGCTGGAAGCACAGCTTGGGGAGGGGGCAAGAATGACTAGAAGGGAGGCAGCAGTCAGATTCGCCCTCGGAAATCTGAGAGCAGGGGTGCTGCCTGAGACCTAGTCATGAGATAACCTTGTGTTTTAGGTGCTCACGTGGCAAAGAGGGACCCCCTTGGACCAGATGCTGTGTGAGGTGACCCAGCTCAGGCCCATGCTCTGGGTTTTTGCTCTGTGCAAGTGGGTGGCTGGGATAGGAAAGGGGGGCGGGGGGAGGTAGGAATGATTAGGTGTTATGTGTTGGCCAGAGTCGTCTGTGAGGACATATCAAGTAGTATGTATCATGCGAAGTTCATATGGACAGTCACGCGGGCAATTGGCTGAGTATGGAGCCAAAAGAAGGCTAGGTTGGAAATATAAATCTGGGAGTCATCCGTTGTATTTATTTAAGGCCACGGGACCAATTCGATAGCCCAAGAAGAGAGAAGACTCGGTCCAGGGCCTGAGCCAGGGACACACTCTGTTTCAGTGGGACCAGAGGGTCCAACCAAGGAAAGGGGCCAAAGCGAAGAGCCGCAGGAGGGTGTGCAGCACAGCATCGCCAGGCGCTGCTCCAAGCGTGAGTGTCAGAGAACCGACCACTGCACTGGGCACGTGGCCGCCGCCAGCGCCTTGAGAAGCGCGTTGCAGCGGCTCGGCGGCAGGAAGAGCTCCGTTGGTCTCTTGTAGGAAGAATGGCAGCTGACCCTGCAGCTCGCGTTCGTTGGTGGCCATAGGGGAGGCGGAACTGAAGCGGAAGTACAAACCAGGAACAACTGGGGGCGGAGGGTGCCGGCTGGCCTTTGGAAACCCACCGCAGGTGCGCGCCCCGAAGAGACAGACCCCTACTCCGCCGGCCCCGCCCCGCCCCCACTACGCGCGTGCGCACCTGGGCGGCAGGCGGCCGGCGGGCGGCAGTGCGCAGGCGCGCGTCGTGCCCGCCCCTTCCTCCGCGGCCGCCCAGTTCCGCGGGGGCCACTCAGGAGCCAGGACACGGGCTGCTCTTAAAAGAGAAACAGCGGCGGGCACGGAAGGTGGGCCCCGTCCCTCCAGCGCTGTCCCGCCCGCGCTTGGCGGCGGCGCAGGCGCCGTGGGAAGCTGGTAAGGCCGGGCCGGGCGGGCGCTTCGAGGCGGCCCCGGGATGGCCGGTGCAGTGCCCGGTGCGCGCACTGCACGCGTTAAGCGCTGCGGCCGAGACCGGGTGGGGCGGGCCCCGGCCCCCGGCCCCAGGACGCGTCCTTGCAGTTGAAGCTGTTTCCCACCCGGCTCCCCTCCCGGGAGGAGCTCCCGTGGAAGAATCACGCCCCGCCCGCCGTTCCTGCCCCGCGGTGGTCGGTCCCCTACTCCCGCCGGACTGCAGCGAGCGTTATGGCAACGGTTTGGTCCTGCCCATCCCCCGCGGAGACGGGCCGGCGGGCGGCGGGTCCGCCGGCCCACGCGCGTCCTCTGCCTTGCAGGCCAGGCCCATGGCCGCCTCCCGGCAGCGCCGACGCCTCCCACGGCGCGGGAGAGCGGCGCAGCTGGACGCGCGCCAACAAGTGTCGCATCCGCTGGCGGACATGAAGCAGTGGTGCTCCTCAAGGAGCAGCTGGGCTTCTCCTGCACTCGCAGCTCGCAAGTCCTGCTGGACCGGTTAGGGCTGCACGGGGTCGGGTGAGGCCGGGCACCGGAGTCCCA